GGGGTGTGGCTCAGTGGGAGAGCACTTGGGTAGCATGCAACAGGCTCTGGATTCTATCTCCCTCACCACTGAAGATAAACAAGAGGTTGATAAGGTTAGTATTGACAGGTTTAGGTGGTATCCAAAGGATACCACAGAGTGAGTTACCTGCTGGCGGAAGAATGAGTACTCTGGGCTGGGGCTGCCGTCGCCCTGGCAGAGCAGCTGGACAGCGTCCCCCTCACGTACCCAGCCCTCCGTGGTGGAGGGGCTCCCCACCCAGAATTCTACATGCTCTGTGGGATCTGTGGGAGGAAAGGAAGTGAGGTCATGGCATGTGTCCAGGCTAGGCTGAGGAGGGAAGGTCAGGTCTATTTTTAAAGGGAGAGATACAGTATCTAAAGCTTAGGAGTCTATTCTCTTTTTAGTTTTTTAAGGTTTATTAGCCGGGCAGTGGTAGCACAGGCCTTTAATTCCAGCACTTGGGAGGCAGAGACAGGTGGAGTTCGAGGCCAGCCTGGTCTACAGAGTGAGTTCTAGGATAGGCAGGGCTGCACAGAGAAACCCTGTCTTAGGACAGGCACATGATCTAGACTTCCTCTCAGAACATCAAAGGTCAGAGGTCGAGGGAAGTTGACAGAATGGCTCAAAGGTCAGAGGTCGAGGTACAGTTTGAGATTTAAGACCAGATGGTATATAGAGACCCAATTCAGTCGGAGAGAGTGGAGCATCCTGTGGGGTACAGGGCCCTATGCTGGCGTCAGGGTCAGTATGGGGGGTACTGTTGGAGGTCAAAGGTCAGCCACCCGACCCAGCATCATTTCAGTATGAGGTGAGTAGGCAGAGTGAGGACCCTGGTTGGAATCCGGGACTGGGAGTTGGGCCTTCATGGGATGAGATCTTAGCCCTAAGGGCTGAGGGTCATGGGGACTCACAGTGCAGGGTGAGGCGGAAGGGATGGCTGTCCAGGCGGCCATGATGGCCTGAGGGTAAGTCGTAGTGAGCAGCACAGTGGAAGCTGGCATCCCGATCATCCTTGTGGAGCCTCAGGTAGAGGGTGCTGGTCAGAGAATGCAGGCCTGAGGCTTCCCGTACAGTCCGGCTGGTCATGTAGCCCTCTGTAAAGGAGGCACGGAGCGCGCTGAGGTGAGTTAACCCCGCCCCCGAGAAACTCTTCCTCCACCACGCCCCGCCCCCTGGCTCCGCCGACGATGGCTCACTTTGGTTCACCTCCATGGGTACATCCAGACGCTGCCCGTTCCGGTACCACGTGATCCGAGGCACCGGGTTTCCGTTGTTGCTGCTGCAGGTGGCAATCTGGGGAAGACATGGGCGTGGCCTGGGCTTGGTGCCAGGACGCTGAAGTCTGGCTCCCCTTCTCCCAGATCTGCCCTTTAGATATGGCCGCTGGGCTCTTTCTCCCCAGCAGGAAACAGAAGCCCCTGACTCCCATTCTTCCCATCAAAAAGCCCAAAGCTCCGGCCTGTGAGAGGGCTCAGCCGGTAAGTGTGATCGTGGGGAAGATGGAAGACCTGCGGTAGATCCCGGGAACCATGCAGAGGAATAGGAAGGGAAGTGGCTCTCAGAAGTGGTCCTCTGCCTTACACACTCACACTGTGGCATATGTGCCCCCCCCCCAACTAATTAAAAACCTGGACTAAGCATAGCGAAACCCAACTCCAATTCTAGGTCTCAAGAGGCTGAGATAGAAACATCAGTTTGACACTAGCCTGGGCTACATAGCAAGATGGAAACATCAGTTTGACCCTAGCTTGAGCTACAGAGTGAGTTCCAGGCTAGCCTGAGCCTCAGGAGACCCTATTTCAAGCAACCCCAAACCAAAGTGAGCTCTGGCACGTAATCCTAGCACATGAATCAGTCACAGAGGCAGGAGGATCACGAGTTCAAAGTCATCCTTAGCTACATAGCATGTTTGAGGTCATGCTGGGCTGGCTATGAGACGCGGTTGCAAATAAAACCAAACCAAGAAGGAAACAGATGGGTAGATGGCACACACCAGGGACCTCAGTACTTGGAAGGTATAAGTGGCTACATGGAAAAGGTATAAGTGGCTACATGGAAAGTTTCAGGATAGCCTGTGCTACAGCGGGTCACTCCTCCCTAAAAAAAACCAAAACAAGTAAAAACTCCAACAACAGGGAGGGTAAGAGTTATAGACCACCTGCCTGGCATGCTCAAAGCACTGAGTTCAATCTCGAATACCACACAACCACACACACACACACACACACACACACACACACAGTATTGGATTCTTTGCCTACTGCTTGCAACTCCTGCCCATATTACCTCCTGGGCAAACTGGTCCATCACAGACAGCGTCCCTTTGTTGGGAAACACCTCCGTAGCCTCTGGTGTTGCTGTTGGAAAGATGTCTACGTCAGGAGGTTCTCCTCTGGACCCCTGGCACCACAGGATGGTTTTGGGGACACTTACCAAACACACGGACACTTGAGGTGGCCTCTGAGGTACCTGCTGCCCCAGCCTTCACTACGCACACGTAGTCCTGGTCATCGCCCACCTGGGCGTTTGCTATCACCAGGCGCCCACGGGAGTCCACTTCGTATGGGGGTGTGCGACCCCGAGAATTGTGTATTGTGCCCAGGAACTCGGATCCCTGTGGTTCCACAGAAGCCAGACGGTGTCGAGCCCCAGAAGCATCAACCTGTAGATGTGTAACAGTTTTAGCTAGGGCAGTGAGTCCTCCTTTATTTTTTTTCTCCAAGATTTTTTCTCTGAGTCTAGGGTAGAAACCTAGGGGCTACATGCTAAGTAATCACTCTATCACTGAGCCCCTCACTGGGGGATTCTGGGCAGGGGCCGTACCACTGAACCACGTCCCCAGCCCCTCACTGGGGGATTCTAGGCAGGGGCTCTACCACTGAGCCACGCCCCCAGCCCCTCACTGGGGGATTCTAGGCAGGGACTCTACCACTGAGCCACGCCCCCAGCCCCTCACTGGGGGATTCTAGGCAGGGGCTCTACCACTGAGCCACGCCCCCAGCCCCTCACTGGGGGATTCTAGGCAGGGGCTCTACCACTGAGCCACACCCTCAGCCATTCCCTCACTTGGGAATTCTAGGCTAGCATTCTATTAGCTACTGGTGCATTACACCCTCATTTCTCTTTCTATTTTTACTTAACTTTTTTTGAGACAGGGTTTCTTTGTGTATCCCTGGTTTTTCTGGAACTTGTAGACTAGATTTGACTCAAACTCAGAGATCTACTTTCCTCCTGAGAGCTGGAATTAAAGGTGCATGACTACATGTATGGTCAGCCCTCCTGTTTTTTGTTTTGTTTTGTTTTTTATTAAGATGTATTTATTTAATACACTATGGCTGTCTTCAGACACACCAGAAGAGGGCATCGGATCCCATTACAGATAATTGTGAGCCACCATGTGGTTGCTGGGAATTGGACTCAGGTCCTCTGGAAGAGCAGTCAGTGCTCTTAACCACTGAGTCATCCCTCCAGCCCTCAGTGGTCATCCTTCTTTAAAATTGTTTTTAAAAAAATATTGATTTTTGTGATTTTATGTGTATATATGTTTCTGTGTGTATGCACACACGGGTACAGATATTCATGGGCACTGGAAAAGGGCATCACCTACCCCAGAGCTAGAGTTACAGGCAACTGTGAACCTAGGAGTGTGGAGAATTGAGCTCAGGGCCTCAGGAGAAGAACCGATTGCTGTTAGGTGCTGATCCATCTCTTCAATCCTTCGGCCTTCTCCTTGAGTTTTATATTGCATTTCATACCTCAGAGGGGTCTGACTTCATAGTACCTGAACTACCCTCATGGTCGTCTGGGTTTCCAGGCCTGGGAGGTCTGTCATTTCTCTCACCCCTTTGGGCCCATCTGTGTCCCTCATCGTCCATGTCTCCTGTGTCTTACTCCCTGTCTCTCATTTCCTCTCCTGTCGTCTTGTCTCTGGTGGCCCTCACTGCAGCACTACGTTCCAAAGGGGAACTGTGTCCTCATGTCTGTCCTGCGGGAACCTGGCACCCTACACAGTCCAAAGCCTTCCAAGGTCTCAGCCTCCTCATCTGTGAAGTGGAAAGGTAGCTTCTGATGGCTCTATGTAAGGTCCTCTGAGCAAACAATCAGTGCAGGTAGAGCTAATGGCTGCTAAGGTGGCCAGGCCACTGGACCCTCCCTCCTCCCCCCTCCTTGTCCTCCCCAGCTTCCAGCATGGAGCACTCACAAGGAACCATTCCATCATGTAATGCTCAGGGTGTCCCCGTGGAGCGCAGTCCAGGGCGATTTGTTCTCCTCGCATCGCCTCCACCCGTGGGGGTACGGACACGTGCAGCTCAGCCTGGGCACCTGCAGATTAGCATCGAAGGTCCACCCACTGCCATCAACAGGGAGAGCCCTCCAGGCCCCAGCCTCCTCCCTCAGACAGGAGTCTAAGCTCCAACCTCCTCCCTCGGATGCAGATCCTCTCTTCCTCTTTGGTCCACTCTGAGCATGGGTTCTGTCAGCATTTCTCCAACACTTCGTTTTAGAAATAGGGTCTTAGCGTGTAGCCTTGGCTGCCTGGAATCCTGCTATGTGAACCAGGCTGGCCTCGAACTCACAGAGATCTACAGCTGCCTCTGCCTCCCTCCTGAGTGTTGGAATTGAAGTCCTGTGCCACTGGCCCAGCCTCTGTGACTTGTAAGGTTTAAAGTAAAGCCTTCTCCAGTGCTCCAAGCTAAAGCCTGGCTCTTCCATCAGTTATAGCAAATGTGCCCTCAAGGAAGGGCCAGGCCTGGCCTCCAGCACACAGGGCAAGACTTGGCCTGGGGCTGAGTAACAGGTCTTTCTCCATCTCGGTCCCATCCTATCTCATGGTCCCATCCTATCTTCTCCAGTAGCTCCTGGGGGCCCTCTGCTCTCTCATGTGTGGGGGGCTGGGGTGTGGGCTGCAGCTGGGCTAGAAGCTGGATGGGTGTGTGGGAGTGGCAAGGGGGGACAGGGCTGGGCAGGTTTCAGGAATGTGGGAGGGCCAGGCTGGCTGAGACCTGCCCAGCTTGGCGCCAGAGCCCCCTACCTGCCCCTTGACAACACCCCCCCGCCCCCCATCTCTTTACCAGAGAAGCTTGAAAAGGATGAGGTGAGTCACCTGGGCAGAGGGTGAGGCTGGGTCCTCAGGGAAAAAGGGCTGGAAGTTTAGACAACTAGCTGCCTGAGGCAAAGCAGGCTGGATGTGGAAAACACGGACCTCTGAGTCCTAGGGACCTGGGAACTTGGGTCTTGAATTTCTGTCAGGGTCTGGTGGGTAGCACGGTTCTTGCTGAGAATCTACCCTTTGGGCTGGCATCATTCCTTTCCCGCCTAGCCTGGCACAAACTACTCCTTGGTTCCCACTATATACCACATTTGTGCCAGGAGCCTGGGTTCTCAGGCACCCACCTCTGGCCCCAGCCTGTCCCAGGGGAGCTGATGTGGGGCCAGGCTGGTGCCCCGGACTGGTTGTGAGCAACGCACAGCAAAGCAGACAGATATCCCGTCTTCCCTGATCTCTTTACACCCTGTCCCCAGTGTCCCCCCAGCCCCTGTTTCTCCTCGCCTTTCACCACATGCAGGTGTGTGGATTTATCAGGGGCCCCAGGAAAGGGGACCTCTCAGTCCAAAACACTGCTCTATGTTCTCTGCCAGGCTCGGTTCTCCCGGCCCTTTCAGAGAGAGGCGGGTCCTCTAGAGACAGCCTAAACTCTAAATTTTGGGGAAAGCCCAACATTCTAGAAAGTGCTTTAGTCGCAGGGTCTCCAGTTTTTCTGAGGAAACTCTGAGCTTAATCACTCTAGAGAACAGCTTTGGGATGTTAGTCTTCAGTATCTTAGCAGAACCTACTTTGACTATGGGGGAGGGTAGGGGCTGGACTCCAGTCTAAGGGACTAGGGGCCACAGATCCCACATTCCAGGTACCCAAGGTTATTAGGGGTCGTAGGGCTTAGATTCCAGGATTCCCAGAGAGCTGGGAAGGGACAGCTATATCAGATGTGTTTGTTCCAGAACCGGGGTATCCTTAGCTCTCAGATCCAGTACACCCCAAGGCCTCCCCGCCTTCCTCCCTACTGGGGAATCCCTAGATTGTGATCACTGGGGAAATGGAAGCCTGTTCCCCTTGTCTTCTCGGGGGCTCCAGGAGCCTGCCCCACAAGCCCGAAACTCAAGTTTCAGCTCTGCCCTCAGCCCCAAGTCATACCTGAGTAGCCCGACAGCAGGAGGGTGAGCCACAGCAGCCCTGCGCGGGCGTCAGGGGGTTCCATGTTCCCTGCAGTGGCGGCAGTGACTGAGCCCGGGCGAGGCTCTCCGCCGCCCTGAAGCTGGCAGCGGAGGCCAGGCCCCTGACCACGCCCCTGACCACGCCCACCCCATCCCCAAACTGGGCGCAGGGCCAAGACCTCCCACTGCCCTGAGAGGACTTCCCACCCTCGCGCGCGGGGGACCCGCTAGCACCACTGTGCGCGCTGCTCCATCCAACCCACGCCCGCGGCTGTCCTCCGCAGCCCCGGGGACGGACCGACCAGTCTAGTCAGTGCCCCGAGCTGGGATTTAAGGGACACCACGCAGACCCTCGTTGCCTTCCTTCCTGGCCACCTGCGGGGTCTTGACATGCATTCCTAAGGTGGCTTGTAGCCCTCGACTGCAGGTGGATCTTTTTCCTAGCTTGTTTTCTTTTTGGAGACAGTATCATACTGTAGCTCAGGCTGGCCTGGAGCTAATGGCAAACCTTCTGTCTCAGTTTCCCAAGTACTGGGATTCCAAAGGTGAGACATCGCCCTGGTTTGTGAACTGTCGGTTTTGACCAGCGGTCCCTGATATGATTAGTTGCCTGTTCTGGCCTCTCTTTGTAGTCTCTCCTGCATGACCGGCTCTTCCCCGAGTGCCCTAGGATGCCCTCCCCTTAGAGCCAGCCACCTTGCTGGGAAGCGCCCCTCCTCTGACCGAGCAGTGGCCTGGAACTGGTCAGGTCAATCTTTTCTCTAATGGGTTTTCAATTCCCAGTCCTGGTCGGCCTCTTTGGTGATGAGATGGGGATGGGGTGCCCCTCCCTCTGCCCTGTTCTCCTTCACTCCCTCACTTCCCCCCATCCAGGGAATCCAAGGAATGTCACCCCCCTTCCGCCTTCCTTCTCTCCCAGCCATTCCTTCCCCACCTTGGGGGGAGGGGAGGAGAAGTGGGCTGGCGCGGTGGCAGGTGAGTGGTGGAGGGAAAGAGGAGAGCAGGCCACTGGGGCCACTGGGTGGAAGAGAGGGTCACAGGTCAAAGTAAGGGGTCACAGATCAGTCTACGCCAGGATCCTCACACTCCGAGGCAGTGTGGAACAAAATCCCAAGAATGCTGGATGGGGGCTGGAGAAGGAGGGTTTCGCCTCTGGTCAGCGGGTAGAAACTAGCCTGGGATACTGGTATGGATGGGGGGTGGTATCACTGTGGGTCATGCTGAGAGAAGGTCCTCCCCCTCCAGTTTCTTGCCAGTCTGAGGATGAGCAAGGTTGTACCCATCAGCCCTTGCGGAAAGGCTTATACTGTAGGTGCTGGCCGGGCTCTCAAAGCTGTACCTGTCACAGGAAGTAATTGTGAAACCAGGAAAAGTGACCTTTGCATGGGGCTCCCTCATCCCCTCTTCAGGAAGTCTCTCTTCAACCCTCTCCTGTCACATAGGTCCTTGTAAATCTCTGGACCCCTGTGTAAGCCCTGCACATCCTGGGATACATCTATCTCCCCTGTGTGACTCCCAGCCACTGTGAAGGTGCAGACTGTCCCACATGTCAATTCCCTCCCACAGCAGGCAAGAAAGGGTTGCCAGGTGTGTACTCAAAGGCTGAGAGGCTCACATGAAAATGCCACCTACCCATAGCTAACTGGATATAGTGGTCCACTCCAGAGGAGACAAATGTATCCTACAGTGTGCAAGGCTGACATGAGGGTTCAGAGATTTGCAGGGAGGTATTCAACAGGCAGAAGAGGGTTGAAGGAGGGCTTCATGAAGAGGAGATGAAGGAGCACCTGGCACTCAAGAAGTGGAGTCCGGGAGATCAGAACCCAGCACCCTACTAACCAGACATCACAGTACAGGCTATCCCAGCACGGGAGAGGTGGAAGCAGGAGGATCAGAAATTCAGTCATCTTTGGCTATTGTTGAGTTTTAGGCCACCTGGCTGTGGTGGTGGTCTCCTTTAATCCCAGCACTAGGGAGGCAGGGGCAGGTGGATCTCTGTGTTCAAGACCAGCCTGGACTACAGAGCAAGTTCCAGGACAGCCAAGTCTACATAGTGAGACACTGTCTCTAAAAAAAAAAAAAAAATTAAAACAAACAAACAAAAAAGCCAACCAAACAAAAAGAGATAGAGAACGGCTGTGTTACATGAGATCCTGTCTCAAAAACAAAGAAAGGGCTGGAGAGACTGCTCAGCTGTTCAGAGCACTTATGGCTCTTGCGGAGGACCCAAGTTCAGAACTCAGTACCCGTGTCCCTATCAGGTGGCTCACAATAGCCTGTAACTCCATTCCCAGGGGATTTGAAGCCTTCTCCAGCTTCTGTGAGCACCAGGCAATCACATGACGATGCACAAACATATAGGCAAAGACTTGCGTATAGAAAATAAAATAGACCTTTAAAAATAAATATTAAAAACAAAATAAAACTTTTACAACAACCCAAACCAGAGTAGCGTGCCATCTACACTCTGCAGAGGGCTTTCTTATACAGTGCCCAGGTGTTCTCTGGAACTCTCCTGTTCTTCTGTCTCCGGCCTGTGCGTCTGATTACTGCATCTGGAGACTGGCATCAGGTACCTCCTTTGCACCTTTATAAAGTCAGCAGGTAGCTAGAGCATAGTGATTCCTTTAATCCCAGCACTTTGGAGGAAGAGGCAGGCAGATTTGTGAGTTCAAGGCCAGCCTGGTCTACAGAGTGAGTTCAAGGACAGTCAGGACTACACAGAGAAACCCTGTCTTGAAAACATACACACACACACACACACACACACACACACACACACACACACATAGTCAGCAGGCCTTGGTGCTGGGTGAAGGAGGCGGGCCACATGGTAAGTGCACAGACCAAAGACATCAGCCCTGGACTTGTAGAAACTAGTATCACAATGTCACCTCCCTTTGTCATCTCCCTTTATCCCCCACAATTAGGTCTTACAAAACAGCCAGAAGAATCCTGTGAAGATGTGAGTCAGCTCAGGCCACTGTTCTGGTCAGAATACGCCCACGGCTCCATCTCACTGAAAGTAAAAGCCAGTGTTCTCTCTGTGGTTTGAGAGGTCCTGGATCTAAGTTCTTTCCTTCCCTGACCCCACCTTCCCTGACCCCACTTTCCTTCCCATATCTCTCTCCAGCACCATTTTTATCACCCTGGTCTCTCTGATGACGTGCTATTCCAATCAACCTCAGGACCTTTGCACTTCCTATCCTCTCTGCCAGGGCATCCTTTTATTGACTGGCTTCCTTCTCCTTCACTTTGAATCTCTCCTGAGGCTTGCCTCATTAGAGAACTTCAGATACCAGCTCCTGCTCCCCCAGCTGCCCCAGGTTTTTCCACTCTGTCCCCTTATCATAGGGGGATAAATTCTGTTTGCCTTGTACAGAATCTATTCCCCAAGGGGACAGGAACTCCACAAGGGTCACACTGGCTCACTAGTGCTAGGACAATGCCTGACTTGGGAGATAAATAAATATTTGTGTACTGAATTAAGTCATATTCTGACTCTGTCCTGTTGTCTCACTTGTATAGAACGATCAGCAGTCACGTGTCACTTAACAATGGGCATCCGTTCAGATAAGGGCGTTGCTAGGCAAAGTGATCCTGATGAGTTATCATTAGGCCATATGATTTTATGAGCCACTGTCACACATGGGGTCTGTGCTGTGTGACACACAACTCTATCTCACTGTCCCTTTAACTAAAAGGCAGAGAAACTGCTACTTAGCTGTGTGCATGTCTTCACAGACTTCATAATGGTTGTTTATTTGTGTGTATACATGCTGTGAGCCCCTCCATGCAGGTGCTGGGAATTGAACTCTGGTCCTCTGGAAGAGCAACAAGTGTCTTAACCGCTGAGCCATGGTCATAGTCACTGTTGTATTGCTGTGAAGAGACACCATGACCAAGGTAAACTTTAAGTGGAAGTTTCTGGATGTGTCAGGTGATACAGACTCACGTGGTGTTTTCTGAGGCAAGACCCGTGGGAGGGCACGTGATGTTTGGGAAGAGAATAAATAGAACTCAACGGACAGTGATGGTGGGCTTACAAAGCTAGCCTTGGAATACTTCATGGTCTCCAGGGTTCATCTTCGCTGTCTTCACTTCATCGAAAGAGGCACAACAGAGAACTTCTCCTGTCATCACGAATGGTCCTGGTCCATGCTGCTGACTTGTGCTGATTTGGTGGAGGCCTGGCAGTTTCTGCTGGATCATGCCATGGCTGCTGATTCACGTTTGTTATCCTGACACTATTCAACTGGACTGCCAGAATCCTGACGACGAAGAACTACTGCTAAACAGGTCCACACCCCCTTGTCCTATTTACCATCTTTTGTCCCCTACATTTGGACAGTGGGCTAGGAGCGGGGTCAAAGAATTTGAGAACCCTTATTAAAAATAGGTTTAGGGCTGGTGAGATGGTTCAGCGGTTAAGAGCACTGACTGCTCTTCCAGAGGTTCTGAGTTCAATTCCCAGCAACCACATGGTGGCTCACAACCATCTGTAATGAGATCTGATGCCCTCTTCTGGTGTGTCTGAAGTCAGTGACAGTGTATTCATACATAAATAAATGAATAAATAAATAAATATAAATAAATAAAGTAGGTTTAAAAAATCTAAGCCTACACAAACTGTTAAAAAAGAAATAGGGCATTTAATAGGACACTTATTTACAGTGTCAGAGTTTTAGTCCCCTGGCATCCTGGCGGGGAGTATGGTTCCCTACATGGGTCTAGAACAGTACCTGAGCTACAGCCTCAGGCAGAGAGAGAGAGGGGGGGGGGGGAGGCTTCTGACACCTCAAAGTCCACGCCCAGTGACACACTTCCTCTCACAAGGCCACACCTCCTTGTCCTTCTCAAGCAGTTCCAGTTCCTGGTGATTAAGTATTCGTAAGCTATGAGCCTACAGGGCCACTGTCATTCAGACACCGCAGCCATTTCTCCAGCCCCATACTTTGTTCATTTACGTCTCCTGAGAGCTGAGTCACAGTAGGCACAATCACTCCTTACCAGAATGTACTGCTGTTTTAAGGCAGGGTGTTATATGGCTCAGGCTTAGAATGCTGTGTAGCTGAGGAAAACCACAAACTTCTAATTTTCCTTCCGT